CTCAAAAAGCCAAGTCTAACCGTTTATTCAAAATTTCAATTTGATCAAATTCTTTCAGTTGAAGATTTGGAAGTTGTATCAGGTGTGAAATCTTATCCCATAAAAGGCGAGGTCAATTTCCTCAGATATCTAAGTAGACTTATAAAATCGCATAATTATGAACATTCATGCTTACATCCGCATACGTTAGATTTCGCACTCGACTTAATTGATTCACTGCATAATGAAGAGAATGCAGAACGCATAGAAAAGGAATTGATTGTATTAGCTAATAAATTTGAAAAGTGGTCTTCCAAGAAGGAATTTAACATTGTGGACATTGCACTGTGGTCTTTAATAAAACAATTTCCTAAAATGAATTTACCGTCGGCTCTCTATAAATGGTATGACTCATGCGAAAAAGCTTTTATAGATGAAAAGTTACATTATGATAATTATATAAATTAGTTATAACATATAGTCATTACAAATAGATTATTTTTCTTATATAAAAATTTTAATACGTTGATAAATACATATCTTTTATTGGTAAATGTCAAGTTTAGATGTCTCACCTCCAATTTTGATAAAAATTAGATTTATAGATAGTAAAGCAGTAAAAGACAAAGGCTGAATAATTATTTGGTGTATTTATAGATATATTAGAAGTAAAGGAAGAATTATATGAAAAATAGCAGATATAAAGAGAGGACAGGAATACAGATAGTAAATTGGGAAAGTGGACACGTGCTATATAATCGTTAAAGTCCCCCCCCCCGTTCTTCTTCCGGTTGAGAACAGTATTTAATGTGGCTTCCGTCAAGTTCTCCGACGATGTACACTTTTCCTATTTCGTTATTTCTTCCTGTTCTATGTTAGATTTACCTATTTTTTATTCAATTTGTTCTTTTATTGCTTTAATTAGATCTATATCCTTTAGTAAATCTCAAAATTGTTAAAGTTTGCACTATTTAAGGTTGGAAAACTTGTCATATCAACTAAATGTACCGACGCAGTAGCAGCATGCGCCATAGTGATTGAAATATATACGAAATATGAAATAATATACAATATAATGAATTAATATATATATATATATTTATAGATTATATTATTTATATATATAGTAGATTATTATATTTTATATATGTATATATGATATATATATTATTTATTATTATTATATTATTTATTCATATATTATATTATTCACATTTTTATATATTATATATATTTATATATTATATATATTTGTAAATATGTTTACACACACACACAAATTATATAATATATAAAAATGTAAATAATATAATATATGAATAAATAAT